AGCACACTCCACAACCGCCCAAGTCTCGCAGCCGCCGCCAGAGGACCTGGCCTGACCAACACTAGTGAAAGACAGGTAAGAGGGGAACCAAGGCTTGACCTCCACCGAAGACCTCCACAAAGACTTCAACAGTGGCCGCCGAACACGACACCGGACGCACCCCACCTCAATCACTTCCGCCATGGCGCTACGGGGACAAAGCGAAACCATTTCTGGGAAGAATTGACGCGAAGTCACCGTCGCCGCACCAGCAAGCCCATGGAGAGCCAGATGTCCGCCGGAATTGCGAGGCCAAGGGCCTCCAGAGGGGAGATACACGCAGGTGGTGGCGGAGGGGCTAGGTTAGATTTGAGGATTTTGAGTTTTTAGGAGAGAATTACTTCAATTTACGATTACATCCCTGTTTTGCAACACAATTTTTTGTGAACCCATTTTCTGTCCAAGTTGATGCATCATTTTTTGTATTTTGACAGAATGTTTTTCGTTTGCACAAACTTTTTGTTCAAGTGGGTCGAACTCGGGGTGATCGTGTTATTTTTGAGAAAAAAATGAAAATTTCATTTAGAGGTTCTTCAACTCGGAACTACTTTGCTGAATTGACCGAGAATGGTCATCTTTATAGAAAAAAATCAATAATTCTAACTTTGTAACCAAGCTAAGAAATGTCTAAATGAAAGAAAATATATACTTACCTCGCCTCCGAGTTTTCCCTTGTTCATTTAGAAAATCGGCATTATTTGTGACCGACGAGCAAGTTGATCGATTCTTGCTAAGTTCACCACCTTTTTTGATGTGGTTAAGCTAAAAGGGCACTGAATTTCATCACGGTTCGATTAAAGAATGACCCTACCGAGTTTGGGTTACTCGACTACAGATTGGGCCCACCAAATCATTTTTTGGGAATTTGGTGAAATAGACGAGTTTCAGCCTCACCAAATCATCGTGGGACTTGGATTTTAACGAGGCGTCCACTATACCGAGCTATTTTTGGGACTCGGTTTTTTTTTTTT